AGTGAACAGATAGAGAGACCAGAGAGAGAGACCAGAGAGAGAGACCAGAGAGAGACCAGCGAGAGACCAGAGAGAGACCAGAGAGAGACCAGAGAGAGACCAGAGAGAGAGCCCAGAGAGGGACCAGAGAGAGAGACCAGAGAGAGACCAGAGAGAACACTTCAATTTAACGTATGGCGATTGTAACAAGAAAAAAACGCTTCTTGGCTTTGAACATGAATCACAAATGGATTTCTCCATCTCCAGTTCATGCCAACTCTAGTTAAAACAGCAAGCGGCGTTGCAGGGCCAAACAGACGTGAGCTTTTGTGTGGGTTTTATCGCAAATCACAGCAGCACGTAGAGAAGAGAACTGAAACACTGTAGAAGTGTCTTACCTTCTCTGGTCTGAAGTTGAGAGGCGCTATATAAATAAATATTATTATTGTTAAGTGACTTACCTTGTCCTGGTAAATGAAGAAGAGCATGATGCACAGGATCTCCAGGAAGAAGATTAGCAGCAGAACCACGAAGAACTGTGAAAGAAAAGAGACCGGCATAAGCTACGAATGTGATAACAGATACCAGAGAGAGAGACCAGAGTGAGGGATCAGAGAGAGAGATCAGAGAGACCAAAGAGAGAGACCAGAGAGAGAGACCAGAGAGAGACCAGAGCGAGGGATCAGAGAGAGAGATCAGAGAGAGACCAGAGAGAGAGATCAGAGAGAGAGATCAGAGAGAGGGATCAGAGAGAGGGACCAGAGAGAGGGATCAGAGAGAGACCAGAGAGAGAGAGACCAGAGCGAGGGATCAGAGAGAAAGATCAGAAAGAGACCAGAAAGAGACCAGAGAGAGACCAAAGAGAGAGAGAGACCAGAGAGAGACCTGACAGAGAAACCAGAAAGACCGGAGAGAGAGACCAGAGAGCAAGACACGAGCGAGCCCAGAGAGAACAAAGCACTTTAAGGATCTTGCACTTGTATTGAAACTGTTGTTGTTGATTGATTTCCGAGCAACAGTTTCTTCGACCTTTTAGCTTGTTTTTTTTAAATGTAATTGTCTGCCGCACACTGGGGACTCTTGCACATGTATTCCAATGGGGTTTTACTGCAAACGACAAAGAAACTGAATCTGAATGTAAACTGTATTCCCTCTGTGCGCCTGTCTGTAGCGTTAGCGTTAGCCGCTATGTATATTCTGAGTGTGTTAAAGTGAGTGTTCGAGAAGTGCAGCTGGGACGAATACTTTATGCAGCGCTCCTACAGAATGTAATGAGTCTCGGGGATGTTTCTCTTTCATCGGTTTGAGAGGAGCCATGGGGCGTCCACGTACAGCTACTGCGTATGTATGAGAAGGTAAAGTATTCAGGGTTGATACATGGGAGACGGGCCCACTGCGTTTGGATGTACAGCAGCATTCATTATGATCAGTCACTATTAGGAGAAGTTCCACTAATTGGCTTCTTTTCAATAATCTTCCCATGAACCGAACATTCCACCAAGTCTGAACTAGTGAGAGGCGGGTCCCGGCTTCAAAATGTCCAAAATGACGTCCGCTGACATGCCTGCGATACCACCCCGGGCCGATGATGCTGGACCCAAAATAAGAATTATTCAATGCTAATGTACAGCATCTTCTTCCCTCTCAAAGATCTTTACAGGATGGCCCAAAAGTCGGCTCTTGGCCCAACACTACGTTCTACATGTGTGTCAATGCTGAGGGGAGTGAATTTTTTTTGGACCAGTCTAGTTTAGTCGCTGTGGAACTTTGAATGCACTCGTCAATTTTCCGACCCCTGTGACCATTTTGAAAGTGCCCACAGAAGCCGGAAGTGATGGCATAATAGTTTCAGCGGCAGAAATAGGCGTGACTATGTCTGTTAAAATGTACAGTCTATGGTCTGACCCAAGGATAGACACAGAAAGAGGTGGGAATTGGCAAAAATGTGAGGATTCCATGGTTTTGCAATATTTGGGCCATTCAAAGACATTACAAACATGGAGGAAAATAAGACTCTTATTAAGACCACATTTATTATGGTCTGCACATTAACCAAAGTGCGAACACTTGCGGCTCATACTAAGGTTGCCACAATTTCACTTTTTTTATGATTATTGAGAGAGAATATATTGCAATTCTATGATTATTCCCAATTATTAACATTATGAAAGAAAATCAACTCAGATTGTTTGTTTTGGTCTTTGAAAAGCTTATTCTAAAGTCTGGGTGTTCTGTCAGCATTTGTTTTGTTGACTAAGGATACGTGCTACTGTCCCTTTAAGAGCGGCTTCCGGCTCATGCGGGGCTGGCACTGGTACTTTCACACCAGTGCCACTTATATCATACAGAAGCAGAGGAGATAACATCAATGTGCACCCTGAGACAGATTTGCTGCTTATTTCTGACCATTTGGACAACTTTATTGACAATGATGCAGTTTTATGTCCTTGACTTGGACACACTGCAAAGGTTCTTGTAAAATCTTTTGAAGTATTGGCCCCTTTCGCTGCAACTTTCCAACGACAGGTTTTGCACATTGGAATTCCATCAGCGACAATAACACAAAGCTCATCTTTTGGATTCTCAAAGTGATCCATAAGTTGTTTTTTGGGGGGAAACAAAACAAAACTCACATGTTTGTCCTCACGGTCTCTGTGGCTGTTGTGGTCGGACTTGAGACTTCATGAATAAAAAAATAAAAAAGCAGGTTTGACAGTGTCAAGAATCACTGTCAAACCTGCTGCTCCTGCTATTTAGACACAAGAGCTGTGTGTGTGGAGCCGATCTAGAGCCAGGACCAGCAGCAAAATGTGTTTCCATGTGTTCTGAGTAAAAATATGCGAGGATCTTTTTTTGGGCTGAGAGCGCTCGTCTTCTTGTGTGCTGTGTACGGTCCTCGCTGAAAACATGGGTTCAGATTTCAAATTAGCTTAAGTGTTATACTCTAAAATCCAACTCTTAGAATAATTTCTGATTCTTCTAGCCCCTGGAAAAGTCTTGTTCCAGTTTCTTCCCTCTGGCAGCAGATATCGTTGGCTAATATACAGGACATGCTAACATGCTAAAGCGCTAACAGCTTCTTTCAGCTGTTCTCAGTCTGAACAAAGCCCTTTTCTTGTATTTCTTGTGTTCTTGTTGATTGGTTTCACAGAGAAGATTGTTTCTTTGTAGCTTGCTGCTCACTGGGGACTCTTGCACGTTTATTCCTGTGTGATTTTACTGCAAATGGCAAATAAACTGCATCTGAATCCTTGCAAATTCAACCCTCGGCCCAGTTTGGATGAGGCCCTTTGAAGTCCCACCTAAAGAGACCGTAAACGGCAGCGTCCGTGTTTTGCAGCTGAAAATAGCTTGGCTCCTCGGTTCATCGCCGCTGATGCCACTTGATCTCTCTGTGAATTCCTCTCGGGTCTGTAATTCTGAGATATGTGAGTTCTAACACATATAAACACATGCTTACAACAGCCACTCTGCCCCCGCTGCCCAAATCCATCATCCAATCATTATCCAATAAACTCTGACATTGGGAGCTTCACTCACCCAAACACATCTCAACGGCTCGTTACGCTGTCATAATCAGTTTTAGAACCTTCTTCACCCGAGCCTCAGCCATCGACCACAACAAAACAGTTCAGTGCAGGAAGTGGAGGAAGATCCATTTATCAGTTGCTTTGACTCAAAATTAGCTTGACATCGCCTGGTTTGAGGACATAGATTTTTGACATAAGTTGTAGAGGGTGATGTGGCAACATGGAGAGAGACAGGAGAGGACACAGAGAGAGATAGAAGAGGACAGAGACAGGGAGAGACAGGACAGAGACAGGGAGAGGTAGAAGAGGACACAGACAAAAAAGAAAGGACAGAGACAGAGAGGGGTTGAAAAGGACAGAGACAGGAGAGGGCATAGAAAGAGAGAGATACTGTAGAATAAGACAGAGATAGAAGAGGGCAGAGATATAGAGAGACAGGGTAGAGACAAAGAGGACAGAGAAGACAATAGACAGGGCAGAGACAGGATAGGACAGAGAAAGAGAGAGACCAGAGAGGACAGGACAGGAAAGAGACACAGAGGACAGAGACAGGAGAGGCCAGCGATATAGAGGACAGGATAGAGACAGAGTAGACAGAGAAGACTAGAGACAGAGGGAGACAGGACAGAGACAGAGAGACAAGGGAGGACAGAGACTAGAGAGGACAGGACTGAGGACAGAGACTGGAGAGGACAAGCGGCAGAGAGAGACAGGAGAGGACAGAGAGAGACAGGAGAGGACAGAGAGAGACAGGAGAGGACAGAGAGAGACAGGAGAGGACAGAAAGAGACAGGAGAGGACAGGAGAGAGAGAGACAGGAGAGGACAGGATCTGAGAGAGACAGGAGAGAGACAGGAGAGGACAGAGAGAGACAGGAGAGGACAGGACAGAGAGAGACAGGAGAGAGACAAGAGAGGACAGAGAGAGACAGGAGAGGACAGGGAGAGAGAGAGACAGGAGAGGACAGGATCTGAGAGAGACAGGAGAGAGACAGGAGAGGACAGAGAGAGACAGGAGAGGACAGGACAGAGAGAGACAGGGAGAGAGACAAGAGAGGACAGAGAGAGACAGGAGAGGACAGGACAGAGAGAGACAGGAGAGGACAGAGAGAGAGAGGAGAGGACAGAGAGAGACAGGAGAGGACAGAGAGAGAGAGGAGAGGACAGAGAGAGAGACAGGAGAGGACAGAGAGAGAGACAGGAGAGGACAGAGAGAGAGAGAGAGGAGAGGACAGAGAGAGAGAGGACAAAACAGAGAGAGAGACAGGAGAGGACAGAGAGAGAGAGGACAAAACAGAGAGAGACAGGAGAGGACAGAGAGAGAGACAGGAGAGGACAGAGAGAGACAGGAGAGGACAGAGAGAGAGACAGGAGAGGACAGAGAGAGAGAGGACAGGACAGAGAGAGACAGGAGAGGACAGAGAGAGAGAGGACAGGACAGAGAGAGACAGGAGAGGACAGGACAGAGAGTGGATAACAGAGCTACAAATCTATGTATTCGTCCATTCCAACCAAACACGTTTACAATCTCCCCTTTACCCAGACCCAGCCTCAGACTCTGGCCCCAGAATGTGCTGATGCCGCGGCCCCCTCCAGCCTCAGGGACAGGACCAGGACAGTGTGTTTAATCCTGCACTGTCGGCGTGCCCTGAATGCACCGCGGGGCTCAGTGACAGCCCGGTGGAGCGGGGTGACAGTGGGGGGGGTCAGGGGTGACAGGGCCTGGCAGGGGGTGACAGAGAGGGGGGCACAGGAGACGGAGAGGTCCTGGCTCCAGCAGATGTCCCCAGAATACTGTAGTGACCACGTCTGTGGCCAAACCATCTGATTTAAAGTTTTGTAATGTGTGTAAACTTTCATTTTCATATAACTGCACTAACTCACTTTGTGAAATGTTTTGAACGTGAGCGCTGGCCTCACTCTTTCTGCTCCCCCTCTCCGCACTCACGGAGCTATCACCCCAGCCCCCACTCAGCCTGGGCTTGTATGTGTTTACGGAGCTCACGTCACACAATATGGATCGCACACTTGAACGTGGAGGGTGTGACCATAGAATGATAGAACCGGGAAGCGCGAAGGAACAAGACTTTCTTTTGGCTGTTTCGCTGAGTAAGCAGAAACCGGTAACAAAGACACGGGAAGTTTCAGGTTAGCCTCCGCCGCTTGTTTACCTCAGCTGTCTGTGCTAACGAGAGACCTGTGGCTTTTCTCAAGAAAGCGGGGGCCAGTGGTCCAATGTGATTGGTCACAATCTGGTCCCGAAACACATTCTCTTCCTTGTTGCACGAAAACTCGATCTAAAATAAAATGACACGCCAGCACAAATCTGCGCTACTTTTTCTTCTAAAGGACGTATATCCCAATGCACTGCATGGATATGGATTGCATTTTACAAATTAAAGTGAGGTAATGCAGCTTTAAGAGAAAAGTAGAGGTAAAGTAAGATATGTTTATCTAAATTATCTTTGATCTCTCTCTGGTCTCTCTTTCAGGTCTCTCTGTTCTCTCTCTCTGGTCTCTCACTGGTTTCTCTCTGGTCGTCTCTCTCTGGTGTTTCTCTTGTATCTCTCTCTGGTCTCTCGCTCTTTCTCTCTCTATTGTCTCTCTATCTCTGGTCTCTCTCTAGTCTCTCGCTCTCTGTTCTCACTCTCTCTCTGTAGTCTCTCTCGCTCTGTTCTATGTCTCTCTATAGTCTCTCTCTCTCAAGTCTTTCTCTCTCTTTCTCTCTCTCTCTCTCTCTCTGTTCTCCTTCTCTCTGTAGTCGCTGTCTCTCAAGTCTCTCTCTGTAGTCTCTCTCTCTGTTCTCTCTCTCTCTCTCTGTAGTCTCTCTCTCTGTTCTCTCTCTTTCTCTAGTCTCTCTCTCTCTGTTCTCTTTCTCTCTGTAGTCTCTGTCTCTCAAGTGTCTCTCCCTCTGTTCTCTCTCTCTGTAGTCTCTCTCTCTCTCTCTGTAGTCTCTCTCTCTGTTCTCTCTCTTTTGTCTCTCTCACTCTGTACTCTCTCTCTCTGTTCTCTCTCTTTAGTCTCTCTGTAGTCTCTCTCTCTCTCTCTCTCTCTGTAGTCTCTCTCTCTCTCTCTCTTTAGTCTCTCTCTCTGTTCTCTCTCTCTTTGTCTCTCTCTGTTCACTCTGTCTCTCTCTCTCTGTCTCCTCTCTGTCTCTCTCTTTAGTCTCTCTCTCTCTCTCTGTAGTCTCTCTCTCTCTCTGTAGTCTCTCTCTCTGTTCTCTCTCTCTGTAGTCTCTCTTTCTCTGTTCTCTATCTCTGTTCTATAGTTTCTCTCTCTCTGGTGTCTCTCTTTCTCTGTTCTCTCTGTATCGCCCTTTATCAGTACAGAGTCGCCCACTTCAGGTCACCGTAGCGACACTCGTAGCCTCACACAGTAAGAGCCGACAAACAGCTAGCAGGCTAATTGTCTATCGCAGGAGCCCGGAGCAGTATGGGGCCCTCTGAGGGGACTGTAATTGGTGTCCTTGCAGTGTCTCTGAGGCAGCAGGACATGCGGGGGCCCCAGGGGGTGCTGCGAGGGCGGACGGTCGCTGTAAAAGTGTCCTGCAGCTAATGAAGTGTCGAGGGCCCACTCTGCTCACCGCCTTCTGCCGCTGTCTCTGGGAAAGGGAAAGTTTGTGCCTAAGGTTTAAAATCTATTCTCCAAAGTCCGTTATCTGTAATGTGCACGACGTTAGGAGCTATAGGTACATCAACTACAAGTTAAAGGGCAGAGTATGTTATTGCTGTAATTATTGCTATTTTTTGTTGTATTGTTTCCACTCTACACTAGGTCACGGTTTGAAAATCAAAATTCTTTTTTTAATAGGTTTTTTAAATTGTAGTATAGAGTTATCTTGTGCTTTATGCTCCTCATCGTAACATTTGCCCACTGTGGGACCATTAAAGGATCTTAATCTTACTTCTTTAGACCTAGAATACGTTAGAAGAGAATAAATGTTAGATTGAGAACAAAGTCTAGCAGAATATATTTCCCAAAATGGGAAATTGGACTTCTGCTGGGACTCTGAGGAGCACAGGGACTGGCCTCCTGCTGGGACTCTGAGGAGCACAGGGACTGGCCTCCTGCTGGGACTCTGAGGAGCACAGGGACTGGCCTGCTGCTGGGACTCTTAGGAGCACAGGGACTGACCTCCTGCTGGGACTCTGAGGTGCACAGGGACTGGCCTCCTCCTGGTCCTAGAGTCAGGACTTAACATTAGGATGCAGCATCTCAGATTTATCTCTACATCTATTGTCTCAGTTCACAATTCAATTCCATTCAATGCATTTTTGTATCGCCCCAAATCTCAACATAGTTATCTCCAGGACTCTACAAAGCTGTCAATTCTCCAACACAGATCAGAGAATCAAACTGTACAGACACAAGAAATGCAACGATAAAAAACAGCCATTGGTCCAGAAGGGGCAGAGTGGGTGGAACAGTTTGGGTTTGTATCCGTCTAAATGACTGCTATTTTGGGTTGTATTGGTCCCACTCTACACTAGGTCACGGTTTTATATCTGAGTTTGTCTGTCACTATGGCCAGAATTCACTCAGATCTCTCTCTGTCTGTGGTGTTCTGGTATCGCTCTGGTATCGCTCTGGTCTCGCTCTGGTCTCGCTCTGGTCTCACTCTGGTCTCTGAAGTACGGTCGGGGTCAAACGCTGCTTTTCTGGACCATAAGCCCTATGGTCCAGCGGAAGTGCGAGATTTTGCGAGATTTCCACCCGTGGATACAAACAAACCACACGTGCCACTTGTATGGTGCGGAGATTGCCGACTTCTTCCTCGTTAAAGGACTTTCCTGTGTTATTTTGGACACATTTCGTCTCTGGGACAGAAAAACTGAGTGAGCGGTCAGAATTAGCTGTGAACTGACCATGTCCTGACGTTAATATGACGGGGAGATGAGAAAGGCACAGGGCCGTGTTCAAACATACAGTCTATGGTTCAAACTCATTGTATTTTAATCCACTATCACGCATCAGAAAGAAAATATAGAAACACTATACAAATAAATTGATGTTGTCCCTTACAGCTATCTTTGCTGCTTTGGTTATAAGCCAATGTATATGAATGATCAGCTTTCTATCTGTTCATCAACTCCATCTCCACTTCACACTCACTGCAGCTTCACATTGGGCCTTTTTCCTTTTTGCTGTGCTGTCAAAAATAACATGATGTAAATGGGCTACCTATTCATTTAATACGAATGATTGTCCGTTTTCTGTTATATTTGAACATTTGTTAAATGTTATTTAATACGTGTTAATATGTTCCTCCTTTATCTCTCAAATAGATCAATATTTGAGAGACAATATTTATCCTGTGTGACATCAATAAAGTTTCTTATCTTAAAATAAGACCGTCCACCGCCTCATCGAGTTGACAAACCCCTTCAAACATCAAATATGGAGACTTTTTTTTTAACCCAAGATGCATCTGTCACACAGAATGCATGCTCTGGATGGGGACGGGCCGCTGCAAAACCTATTCAGTGTCCTTCAACCTGGGAAGGTTTTGTCATGATGTATTCAACATTTATTAACATTTATAAGCATTTATGGCTCTATGTGTTTTTGATTCTCTGATGTGTGTTGGTGAATCGACAGCTTTGTAAAGTCCTGAGAGATTCAATTCGATTCAAAAACACATGAAATGGAATTGAATTGAATGACCGTGGATGTGTTCTGTTTTCGTTAGAGTTACAGCAGTGAATAATGAACGTGGGGGAAATAATGGAGAAAGAGTGGAAAGAAGCTGCATGTTTTCAGTGGTAGGGGAAACCGGTGCACGCGGAGGAAACTTACGCAGACATGGGGAGAACATGCAAACTCCACACAGAAAGACCCTGTTCCGCCCGGGATTCGAACCCAGTGCCACCGTGTTACAATTGCAACAACGGCCTAAGGTTTTATCTGGACCATATGTCATTTCTTGATAACACTGGGTAACAAAAAAATATTTTTTGAAAATAGTCCAGGGTTTTCCAGCTGAATTAGACTAATTTTGATGCTCTGAGTCCGAAAAGGACATTGGTTTTGCTCAATCAGGTCAGGAATTTTTTCTACAGAAATATTTTTTAAATCGATTTTGCGTAAAAAACAAATTTCTGCGGATCATCAGCTGAGAAACCCTTGAGGTTTTTAACGTTTTCCTCAAGAAATAAAAGTCAACGTATCCAAAGTCATTCAGTTTTTATTTACTTCATCAAATTTGATAAGCAGAATTCATAATAACGTAGACGTACATAATCCGTAACACTATGGCTGTATCTCAAAAAGTTGACCCTGACCATTTTTTGGCTGTCAACTTGTGTTATAAATGATCAATCCATCCATCCACCTGTATTTGTAGAGCCCACAAAGAAACACACACAGAAGGAATCATCACATTAATCACACAGAAGATTAAAAACAGAACTGCACACTGGCTCGGTAATCAGAAACAGGAAGTGAAACTAAGGATACAGGGATAGAAAATTACAAAAAAAAAAAAAAATACAGGAAATAAACCCAGACCAGGACATAACAGACATTTTAACACCTGTATTCATGCCACAGTGGAGAAAACGAAAGTAAAACAGCCCTGGCTTGCCTTGTGTGTGAACTGTGCTATATAATTAAACTGGCCGTGCAGTGGTTCTGGGTCGAATGCAGAGGACGCTGTAGAAACACTGACCTTGCGTCGCCTTTTGTTCTTTCCTCACTTTTGTAAAAGCGTTTGTTTATGGAGCAGAGATGGTCCCGGGAGCAGAGCCAAAGTAATATCCATATAAAGTGTTTGGCATCTCCTGCTTATTATGGGATGTGTTTTTTTTTACTGTGTGTGGGTTCAAGTTG